TTTAACACTGTAGAGTCGCGGCAAGAGACTGGGAAAATAGATCGTTTGACATTAAAGAAGGCAAAAGAATGTATACAAGTTGTTGTATATGCATAAAAGGGTTAAAAAATTTATTAGTCAGAAGCTTTAATGACAATAAAAAGGATAAATGGGAAATGTCAGTTACATTACGGAAATTGGGTTTAACGTCGCGTCCAGAATTATTGCATTTACATAGCGACGTACATGCACGTCTAGACTGTCTAGACTGATGTCGATTTATAGTGCTAGCTCACTGGGATACAATACCAAACTCAGACACAGTATACTGTATACAGTACACAATCCTTGTTTTAGCCCCTTAATGCCGAGCGCCAGACAGGGTAACAACAAGTACCATCTTTAAACATCCTTTGGTATGACGCGGCCGGGGATCGAGCCCCGGACCTTCCGCTCTCCGGCCGGACGCTGTACCACTAGACCACGTAGGCGGTAGAATAATTAAGAATTTCTTTTAAGTGAGTGAGGGAGTTGTGTTTAATGCCGCTTTTAACAGTATTCCAGTTATATCACGACGTGTCAGTTTCATGTGGTAGGAAAGCCCGAAGTGATGCACGGGTATGGTGCTGACAAACCTAGAAACATAATCGGTGCGAACCGGGAATCGAACCCACAATCATAGGTTTCTGGCGTGCCAAAGGGACGCAACTCTGCACAGCGAAGACGACTTAGACGACTGGGCCACCCGTGCCCCCAATTTCGTTTAAGGTGATTTAAGATAAAATGAGGGATTATTGCACAAATATAGTGACGTTCATGCAAGAATGAGTGAGTGTTTGAGTGAGTTAGTAAGTGAGTGTGTGAGTGAGTGAGTGAGTGAGTGAGTGTTAACTAGTTCGGACTAATGCCGCAGTATTGACATGGATTCCCCATTCACTGGCATTCAGACACACTATACTGACGCTGAGCCGACCCGTCTTTCTTTCATTACTTTAATGTCGAGCGACAGGCTGGGTAACACCAAGTACCATTGTAACGTAACAGCTGTTTGTATGACGCGGCCACAGGATCGAACCACCGGCCTTCCGCTCTCCGGCAGACGCTCTATCTACTGCTAGAACACGCATTTGTATTTTAATGAAACAAATTTGATTGGATATTTAAGATTAGCAATGACGCTGACAAGCTAAAACCGTACACAAAAATCGATTTCGTCAAAGCAAAATATTTATAGGTATCAATATTTTCATAAGACGTTTAGCGTCTGTTATTTGTGCGTAGTTATTACGTAATGTGGCAGAAACAGCTCATTCAGATTGCTTTAGGGAGAACAGTGTTCAAATAGTTCTTCCTGACAAAAGTGTTAAAGATGACATACCTGGATACTATGGATGTGACATCAATTCTGCAGTCATAAATAGACTATGTTCGAAATCTTCCAAAATCATCTTTACAGTATATTCAACCCGTGAAGATCCGGGTTAAAGTAGGTCTTCAGCAACCCATGCTTGTCGTAAGAGGCGGCTAACAGGATCGGGTAGTCAGGTTCGCTGACTTGGTTGATGCATGTCATCGTTTCCCAATTGCGTGGATCGATGCTCATTATGTCAATCACTGGATTGTCTGGTCCAGACGCGATTATTAACAGACCGCCGTCATATGATGGAATATTGCTGAGTGCGGCGTTAAACAACAAATATACAAACAAACTTTATAGTATATTCATCTTGACAGATTTATCTTAAATGGTGAACGAGTTCGATCACTACCGGCAAAATACCTGAAAGGAAAAATAATTCCAGGTTCAGCTGTTTCATTGCATGTCCTTTTCCATCTTGGAAAAATGGCGTCCGCTTGGATTTTCGGTGGTTTACGTTTTTCCTTCTTATTTTGTGCCAAAGATGATCGACCAGGCACCTGTCTGTGCCTGTATCCCCACATTATAACACACACGTTGTGGGGACATTTTAAAGTTTACATATCACACAAATCCTGACAAAGTTTTATGATTGACAGTTTTCATTTCTAATCGTCCAGGGGGGCACAGGTGGCCCAGTCGTCTAAGGCCCCGTGATTCGCTGTGCAGAGTTGTGTCCCTTGGGCACGCCAGAAACCTATGATTGTGGGTTCGAATCCCGGTTCGCCCTAATAATGTTTCTAGGTTTGTCAGCACCATACCCGTGCTCGTGGGTTTCACCGAAGTGGTAAACGTCTTAGACCTGCATCACTTCGGGCTTTCCTCCCACATTAAGCTGACACGCCGTGCTATAACTGGAATAATGTTAAAAGCGGCGTTAAACCCAACTCACTCACTCTAATCGTCCAGTTACAATATAAGTTATCATACCCCCATATCAGAATGATGAGATCTACTTGGTCCACTTGACCAATCACTCTGACATGGAAGTATGATATCTTGTATTGTCCGCCGGTTTCGAGGGGGACCTTCGGTGATATACGTCACAGGTGGGCAACGAATGTATCTTACCTCTTACCTATGGTGAAGGTATGTTTCACTGTGCATGCTTTGCTCCAATTCGGTAAGAATACCACAGTTATGCAATCATCCACTCCTTTAACCGACTTCCCCAGAACGTATTGGCATACAATGTGACGCCATTACAATGTACTAGTTACATAAAGAATGCAAGCTGAAGCCACGGTCTTTGGTCACAGATGTTCACATAGAAGTTCATATAGAAGTACACAAGGCACTTCGACTTGAGGGTCAGTGGCGCTCGTCACGCCGAAGGACCGGGTTCGATTCCCAATATGGTTTCAATGTGCGAAACTCATGTCTGGTGTCTCCCGAGGTGATATACTTGGAGTTTTGCCAAAAGCGGCGTAAATCCATACTCACTCATTCTTCAGCTGAAGTGAGTGAGTGAGCGAGTGAGTTTGGTTTTACGCCGCTTTTAGCAATATTCCAGCAATATCACGGCGGGGGACACCAGAAATGGGCTTCACACATTGTACCCATGTCGGGATTCGAACCCGGGTCTTCGGCGTGACGAGCGAACGCCTTAACCACTAGGCTACCCGGCCGCCCCCTTCAGCTGAAGGACAAGCCCCGAAGCCACACACTTGACATAATAAGCTCCACTGATGCTGTCGTCGCATCAACCCTGTGACATTATGCAGAACTCTGACGACACAAACACATCCAAATGTCAAGCATGTGTGTGTGTAGGTAGGTGTCTATTTCTATATATAAGTATGACTGTAATGTGCGATGAATAACATCAGCATTTTCATTAAGAGTTGTTTTCTTAGTATTGAACCGAACTGTCGAAACGTGCCTATTCTATCCCGGAATCTTCACGGGCCCCTCAGCATTAAATCTAGGGACGCAAGGATCACGCTTGATTTCAAACACTTCATGTAGAATTGTGTTGAATTGAGTGGCATAAAAAAGTTTAATAAAATAAAAATAAAGGGTTAACACATTTCTTGAAAAGTGGTCTCTCCGGCTGGGGAAATTCCATGGTGAAACTATAGTAGTAATACAGCCAGGGTGTTCCCTGAAGTCTTTAAAGATGAGGACACGCCCAGACCAAGCGCTTCAGCTTACAGCAGTTTAATCACAAGGTTAATTGAAGCTTTGGATTTACATGGCAGATTGAATTATGACATTATCTAGTCATAGACGTCCAAAGAAGACAATCCGTAACGTCATCGAATTTTAAAGGAGACACTCTGAAAAATCATCAAATTTAAAATGTGACAATCAGAGACTAATAGATTTACAACAAAGACAATCTGTTCGAAAGAGCCATCGAATTCAAAAGGAGATAAGCAGACATACATCGAAGTCAAGTTGGGAAAATGAGAAACTCACCAAAGGTAATCGAATTCCAAAATTGAAATATTCTGAAAGATGTAAATCTTCTAACGAGTAAATGAGAGAGTCACCGAATTGTAAGAGAGACGTTTGAATACTACTACGTATATGTACGTTTATGAGTGAGTGAGTGAGTTTGTTTTTACGCCGCTTTTAGCAATATTCCAGCAATATCACGGCGGGGGACATCAGAAATGGGCTTCACACATTGTACCCATGTCGGGAATCGAACCCGGGTCTTCGGCGTGACGAGCGAACGCTTTAACCACTAGGCTACCCGACCGCCCCTGTACGTTTATGAAGCCAGCGATAACCATCAGGGATGGCGTTACGATCATCTGTAGAGAATCATGCACTTGGACGCAATAAAGAAGCTGAAATTTATAAGTCGACTCCTTCTTCATAAACATGTCACTTTAAACACGGAGCACATAGCTGTTTGAATAAAAGAATGAACATGACTTACATTTTTACCACAGCTGACGTGAAACAACATATCTACAACAACAACAGCAACAACAACAATAATAATACAGCGGTTTAATATTCAACTTAATTGTATTGTATTTCAAATGAAGCTTGTATTTACATAATTTATGTACAGTTTTGATATAAGGTTGAACATTATTGAGTCTACACTGGATATGTTGCTAAGGAGAATTATGTTTTCTACATTCTTCGGAAAGTGTCTAGACTTTTGGCACCTTTGAGTTTCAATGGGAGAGCATTGTCATCAACAGGCAAAGTCCCATATATGTGTATTTCAACTGAGCAATGCAAATTAAGCTAATTTTATCATGGTTTTGATTTCTAAATCAAACGAAGTTAACGGTTTGATCTTAATATTTTCGTCTTTGAATTGTTGCCATCTTTCATATTGAAAAATACACGCCAAACTACAGCATGTCGCAGAACGAAAAGTACATATAACTTTGCCTTTTCTGAAACAATCTTTAACCATTTTGAACAGAAGTTGTGATATAAGGGAAATAACTCTTGCAACACATTATGACACAATGCGTCAATCTATTAATCGACATGATACCAACATCAGATAAAGGGCTTTAAGTAAACCAAACGCAACTCATAGTAAATAAAATCATGTGTTGAATTTCCACAGCATGATATTGATTTTATTTCTTGTGTAATGAATACGAGAAAACCCATCCGGGCTCTTCACTTCATCAAAATGGCGACGGAAGCTCTTCGGGCAGAAAATCCCGACTCTATGGAGGCTTTGACGCGTGAAGCTGAAACACTCAAAGCTAAATTAGAAGATGAAAAGGCCAAACTAAATGATGTTGACAGTATGTTTATATTTTGGACACAGATTTACTTCCTACGTATTTAATGGCACGCCATAATATGAAACAGACCCTTTCCTTGTAGCAACATTCGTTCGGTTTTCGATCACCAACACCGAGGCCAAATGTCAAAAACAACAACATATATTAGCCTTTAGCCCTACAAGTCCGAAAACAGATAGTCCTTAGAATCACATTATGCAAAAAGCCAATCACCTTGAAAATATGATGCAAGATATTTCAATGAATTCAAGTTGTACGATACTCTATTTTGACAGATTTGACAGAGTTAGATATGGTAAAAACAAGGTTATGTTCAGATCAAACGTACCGTCATGAATGATTGTTTCCTGCTTTTTGTTGCCGGTATTATCGTAGTTTCAACCATTGATGCCTCCTTTATATATGTGTAAATGTTTTCTATAATCAATAGGCATTATATGAGATGAAGAGGTGGATTTAAATGGTTATTCACTTGTAATTTGTATCTTCCAGTTACGTGTTATGTAGCAGAGTGTTACTTTTGTTCAGGCATTCTCAGAGGTTGATATAAATTTAACAATTTTACCAAATCTGAAACAAGAAAATGCAGTTCAGATTATTCATTTCCTATACCAATACTTGTGACGAATGTTTTGGCCTTGCAATGATGATTTGTATTTCAATGATTAACAAGTCCCTCTCATGGGGTGCAGGCTGAAACCGCACCTCAGCAAAACGTCACCGATTTCTCTGGCGAAAACGGCACCACGTTTGGCGAAAACGGCTACTATGTGTCGGGCGAAAACGTCACCTCTATTTTTAATAATGATAATAACGATTTTTGTAGTAATATATATGGTTTATTTACATGGACACAGTTATCACATGATACAGCATGTTGTTTTTTTCTAACCATGATATCACTCCCAAATGTATTATTTGATTGTCTATCATATCATAACCTTCGTGAGGTGGTGACATGTTTAATAGCAGAGGAAATTTTCTGTTAAATAGCTATCTTGGCCACTTCTGAACACAGTGTTTTTCTACAAAATAGCTAAATGTCTTAACCCCACATTTTACATAGATGTTATTTATGAGGAAGTCCAGCCTTTCAAATACTGTAATTCTGGCAAGTTTTGCAAGAAGGAAAAATTACGAGCGACACACACTCGCAAATTGGAGTTGGGGTCTAATTTCTTACTTGTTTTGTTTCACAATTTCACAAATATGTGTGTTTGTAAGAGACAATGTGAATTTAATTTCTATTATTTTTCTTCAAAGCATGTTATGTTTTCACAATAAATTGAGTTGCGTATAAGCTAAGTTGGATTATAGTTGGAGTAGAGGCTAATTTCTAATGTAAACTTGTTTTAACATCTCACAATTATTGGTGTTTGCAAGTTACCATGTAAGTTGAATATCACTTATTTGACCAAGGTAAAAAAAATAATAAGGTGCCGTTTTCGCCAGGCAATAGTAGCCGTTTTCGCTTGAGTCGAGGTGCCGTTTTCGCCAATCGGTGCCGTTTTTGGCCGGTGACGTTTTGCTGAGGTGCCGTTTTCGCTATGAACCCTCTCATGGGGGTTCAAGGTTAGAAAAGATCCACAGCAAACTATGGAGGTTGCATTAGGTGGAAAATGGTTCGGATGGTCTGGCTCGGTGACTTGGTTGATTGTATTTTATCATTCCTTGACAGCATGGAATTTTACTAAAAATAATATCAATTGACAGGATTGTCTGGTATAGACTCTCGATTATTTACAGGTCACCAGCTGGAACATTTCTTTGTAAGACAAGAAACGTTTCAGTAGCCTTGACTGGCGTCTGGTGTCCTATGGAGGTACTGATAGTGATATAACTTTATCATTGTCTGGTAGTGGATGCTCAGCTGCTTATCTGGCATTCGTATGTAATATTGCTGAGTAATTTTGTTGTTTGTTCAATCATATGTATACTCACTGCCACTAGAAAAGCAAATGCCATACATGTTGGTTAATATATGAAGACTTAATCATATTCAAGATATATTAGATTGGTTTGATGCACAAACAAACATACTGGTATGTTGTGTGAACAGATGCTCATGAATGCATCACATGTGACGTCAAAGATCCATGACTCAAGATGCACAATTTGTCTCGTGCAGGGTTAGCGTGTAAAGTTTGGAAATCATGTGCAGCATATTGTGATAAGAGTAAAGTCACGCTGTGGTAACACTTGACTGATTGTTACTTTTGTCATTAATTGGTACACATTGAAAACATCTCTTTTTAACGTACATACTTCTCTATAAGTTTCTATGGTTCACATTTTTTTTGGCGGTGAGTATATATATTATTTTTCTGCTGGCCCATATTTGCAACTGATGTCTGGTAACTTTTGACGTCGAGTGATAGTATGAAAAAAAAGGTGATAGTTTTTCAGTGTTAATCAATAATAAGTACATTGTACATTGCAGGCAATTCAGTGGCTTTTGATTGGCTAAGCAAGCCATTTTTTTGGCATTTGTTTCCTTAAACCGAAAACAAATAAGACCACGCCCAATAACAAACAACTGTTTCCTGATTGGCTTATAATAGAATGGGCGGGGCTTGTGTTGTATTATTGCACTGAACGATGTCACTGATTTCTTACTGTTGGCTTCAGTCTTGTGAGTGTTAAAGAGTAAATAAGCAGTCAGTGAATTTATTGTTGACATATATATATTTATTAGAATTGACATGTATTTGCATTTATGGAGATCTAAATATAAAAGCTGTGCACACATTGTGGAAATCTGCTTTGCGTACATACACAGTTTGCGCACTAGTTTTTACGTTTATACCTTGGCACCTATATACCTATATATATCTCGGCACAAGTGGTCCGTCGTCTAAGGTGCTGCAGTTGGCTGTGTAGAGTTGTGTCCCTTGGTTGCAGCAGAAACCTATCATCATGGGTTGGAATTCTGGTTTTCCCCTCAATATGTTTCTTGGTTTGTCGGCACCATACCCATGCTGGCTGGTTCAGCAAGGTGGTAAACGTCTGAGACCTGCATCACTTAAAGGGCAAGTTCACACGGAAATGAACCTATTTTTCTTGTACTTTTTCCACATTAAAAGTGTTAACCTAGAAGTGTCATAGACAAAAATATAAAAATATCACAATTAATTAACATATTTTTCGCATTAAAACGATTTATATTTTTCACATTTACCAAGTGTTCTATTTCCACAACAAAAACACCATGGCTTATGCCCCTTGCAATATGACGTCATTGGTGCCAATTGATAAACATTATGACGTCATCATGCTTTGTTAGAGCCGCTTCACGTGGTGTAGGTCCAGGTGTGTGATTCTAGCGTCTCAGATGCCAGCCAGCATAGTGTTATGCTGAGTCACCACTGCGCCGGAGTGTGTCGTAGGCCATGTTGTTTTACCGCAAACTGGTACTTGATATCTTTTGCGTTGAGAATAGACAGGGACCCAGTTGAATTGGCACCAATTACGTCATAATCTAAGGGGGATAACTCGGGCCTGTTTGGCTCGAAAAACGAAGGCCTCATAACGGCATATCATTTTCACACTATTGTGAGCTTCCTACGTTCACTGTGAAAAAAATGAGTATATTTTCAAACACAGATACTAATTAATTCTAAAATTGCGTTTTGTTTAGAAAAAGAAAGAAAGTGATTTTTGTGTGTACACTTCCCCTTTAAGGCTTTCATCCCACATTAAGCTGACACGTCATGGAATGCTGTTCAAAGCTACGTAAAACCCAAATTCACTACCTCATATATTTTAGTTCTACCACTAAATTCTACACTTTCTCTTGTACGTGAAGTGTTTGAAATCAAGTGTGGTCCTTAGAGACTGCTGTGAGGATTCTAGGGACTGCCTACTTCATCAGCTGTTACCATTAGGTAATGACAAGTAGAGCTGGCTATCTATATAGATCATAGAGATCGATAATCGATAACTAAATATCGATCAATTATTGAAAAATATCGGAGAAGGAACTTTAAGCAAATAAACAAGGAAGTCCCGAAAGAAATCAACATATTTCACGCCACTTGTGAGCTGTGACACATTTATGCATGAATTACTTTGTGGACATTTTAGATATGTAACAAAAACTGTTGCTTTCAGTCTTAGACAATTGACAATATTGACAATGACAAGTCTGTTTCGGTAAATCTAAACTTTATTTCATCACAATAGTTTATTTGAGTTATTATCTATTACAACAGTTTCATATCCATAATTGTTTATATTTCTTCCCATCGGGGATAATTCCGATTACCGATCTTATTAGCCATACCTAATAACAAAAAACCCGAGACTTTTATGTATACTTTCAAACACTGACATGTCTTTATGCTTGTTCATCCTACAGTGTGTGTACTGGGACAACGCTTGGCCAACCTGCCTCCATTCAACATCAAGACCCGCCGAGCCCTGAAAGGTCACCAGGGCAAGGTGCTGTGCATGGACTGGTCATCGGACAAGCGGCACATCGTCAGCTCTTCACAGGTGGGCATTTTCATCAAAACACTGTTGCAACTAGGGGTGACTAAAGAGGGTGTGTTAGATATTGTGGTATAGGTACAGCTGTTGCAGGCAACAAGAGTCAAGTAAATTAACATCTGTTCATCACCACTAGATTATATCATGAAATTTGATTGGACAGCTATTTTTAGCACTGTGTCATCGAACCTGACTCAAAGTGTAGCAATGAAGGCGAGGATGGTATCTCTGACGAAAGTTGGGAGGTGGGATAGACTTGTGGTTGGGTGTCTTAGCTCATCACGGCAATGACCTGTGTTCAGTTCCCACAAAGGTACAATGTTTGAAGTGCGTTCTGGTGTCCCCTGCCTGGATATTGCTGTAATATTGCAAAGAGCAGCGTAAATCCATACTCTCTCACTCACTCTGAGGGGGCACGGGTGGCCCAGTCGTCTAAGGTGCCGCGATTCGCTGTGCAGAGTTGCGTCCCTTGGGCACGCCAGAAACCTATGATTGTGGGTTCGAATCCCGGTTCGCCCCGATTATGTTTTTAGGTTTGTCAGCACCATGCTCGTGCTCGTGGGTTTTACCGAAGTGGTAAACGTCTGGGACCTGCATCACTTCGGGCTTTCCTCCCACATTAAGCTGACACGCCGTGATATAACTGGAATACTGTTAAAAGCGGCGTTAAACGCAATTCACTCACTCACTCACTCACTCACTCTGATGAAAGAATCTTTGTATGATGTCAGTACCAAGTTTATTGTGTTCCAGGATGGGAAGATGCTTGTGTGGGATGCCTTCACCACAAACAAAGTAAGTATAATCTAGCATATACAAGTGATACCTGTGAGAAAACCTACTCACCAGTTGGCTCCTTTGATTTGATAGGTGTTTGAAACTGTAAGACCCACTGTAACACCAAACTAATCTATTTTCTTGGTGTACAAACAATCCTAGATCCTAAGTTTTGCAAATGTTAAATATTTAATGCTAATTTGATTGATAATATTCCTTCCTGACATTTATGTTGGTGTGTAGTTTTATCAAAAATGCGTATTTCAAGAATATGTTTCAGGATATTAACCTTCAAAGCAGTAGAAATTAACCTAAAGTGTTTACTTGCTTCAATGACTGCCTCCAGGGTTTAGTGGTAGAGCGTCTGCCTGGATAGCGGAAGGTCCGGGTTTTCATCCCCGGCTGCATTAAAAGATTGTTGTTACCCTGTCTGGTGCTAGGCATTAAGGGCACAAAACAAGGACTGGTCAGCCCCGAATCAGTATACTGTGTCTTAGTGGGGTATCCATGTTAAACTGCGGCATGGTATCTCAGTGAGCTGGCACTATAAATCGGCATCAGTCCGGACTAGTACAAGCAGGCACGGGTGGCCAAGTCGTCTACGGCACTGCGATTCGCTGTGCAGAGTTGCGTCAATTGGGCACGCCAGAAACCTATGGTTGTGGGTTCGAATCCCGATTCGCCCCGATTATGTTTGTGGTGGTAGAGTTGCCTGGTTTGTGTACTGTTTAATATTTGTCTTGGTCTTACCTCAACAGGAGCATGCAGTTACCATGCCAACGACCTGGGTAATGGCATGTTCCTACGGTCCATCAGGATCTGTTGTAGCATGTGGGTGAGTACCGTGTGTTGTGGCATGTTCCTGCGATATGTGAGAATCTGTGGTATCCCATGGACTAGTACAGTGTGTTTTTCCCGGCTGCTGGGTGAGTGATGGCGTGTTCCTGAGCACTGGGCGTAACTGCATCATTGGTGGTTCATATTGGGAAAGGGAGGCCACTCACAATCCAGAGCTATCTCTGTTGTTTTCATGTTTGTGGTATGTGGCCTCTGTCACGCACGTGGGAATTTTACGATCACCTAAGTGCTAAGATCACTTTGTACAACGGCACCCTGTTCAATATTTAATCCCTGAGGTAAACGGTAAATTTTTTCGAGAATATTTAACTTATTTGCAGCATGTGGAATATTTCAGGCTCTCCTGCCTTGATCAGCAGTTTGGATTACGTGGTATGGTTCTAACCAACTGTTGTTACATTCCAGTGGTCTTGACAACAAGTGCACCGTGTACCCACTGAGCCTGGAGGAAGACCCTGCCACAAAGAAGAAAGCTGTGGCCACTCACACCAGCTATCTCTCATGCTGCTCCTTCACATGTTCCGACTACCAGGTGAGCTTTAGTAGTGGCACGATACACCGATGCATTGGTAGATCGCTACTTTTTACTTCTCGATACAAGTATCAATCACAATCGCACAAGGAAAAAGTAGCGATTCTTACCTTAAATGTATTCTTTAGTAAATGTTACACCAAACACTAATCACTAGTGAAAGTTGGTATTGAAAAAGTCAATATTTTCATCCATTGTATCATACTTGACACTGCCAACTGTAAATCGTTAGTGAGCCAGGTATTTGGCCACCCTGTCTATGAAAACGATTGCTTACGCACCACAGAATGCCAACACCCACTATCTGTCCAAGAGCTACCGGCTATCTCTCATGTTGCTACTGGGGGCACAGGTGGCCCAGTTGTCTAAGGCGCCGCGATTCGCTGTGCAGAGTTGCGTCCCTTGGGCACGCCAGAAACCTATGATTGTGGGTTTGAATCCCGGTTCGCCCCGATTATGTTTCTAGGTTTGTCAGCACCATACCAGTGCTCGTGGGTTTCACCGAAGTGGTAAACGTTGGAGACCTGCATCACTTTGGGCTTTCCTCCCACATTAAGCTGACACGCCGTGAAATAACTTGAATACTGTTAAAAGCGGCGTTAAACCCAACTCACTCACACTCATGTTGCTACTTCACTGACCACTTCCGTGGCCTAGTGGTAGAGCATCTACCTGGGGAGTGGAAGGTCGGGGTTTGATCCCTGCCGCATCATACCAAAAGACGTTAAAAGATGGTACTTGCTGTTACCCTCTTGGCGCTCGGCATTTAGGGGCTAAAACAAGGACTGGTTGGTCGGAGTCAGTATACTGTGTCTGAGTGGGGTATTCATGTTAAACTACAGCATGGTTATCTCATTGAGCTAGTGATTATTATGTTTCGAAGTTTGTCAGCTGAAGGGTTTTGCCAAAGTGGTAATCGTTCAAGACCACTTCAGGATTTCCTCTCACATCAAGCTGACATGCCTTGATATAACTGGAATACTGTTCAAAGTGGTGATAAACCTAACTCACTCACTCACCTAAGTGTGTTTAGTGGTAAATGTTCACCTTGTCATGCATGATTTCTGTGTAAAGATCCTTTCTGTGTTGCAGATCTTGACGGGCAGTGGGGACAGCACATGTGCCCTGTGGGATGTGGAGAGCAGCACACTCATCCAGAGTTTCCATGGCCATCTGGGGGATGTCATGAGTATTGATCTCTCCCCCACAGAGACGGGCAACATATTTGTATCTGGGGTCAGTGATTTATTCTAAAATCTTCTGTTATCTATGCTATAAACTAATCTGATAAACTTGGTAACATGATCCGATAAATATGAGTTATCAATATGCTTAGATAGTGGTTTCTCAATGTGTTGCCAAAACATGACGACAGTCATGGCTGCAAGTCATTTGGCACTCTACCGGTATATCAAATTGGGTGGTTCACTCAAAAATTGTATTCGTACTTAAACATGGATTATTTTAAGAATAACAGTATATGATAAAGAGATGAACAGAGATCATTACACACGTGTGGTACTGTAGCGTAAATATCATATACAAGGAATAGAAAATATGTACTATGATCGCCATATGTATACGCAGTACAATTATTATTACCACCTCGGTGATCAGACTCGCTGATTTAGTTGATGCATGTCATCATGACCCAATTTGGAGTCGTAGATTGATGCTCATGATGTCAATCACTGGATTGTTTGGTCCTGACTTGATTATTTGCAGCAGTTATACTCCTTGAACGTGAGGCATGATTTGTGCATTGTCTGATGATGCTACTGCAAATCTGTTTCTGGCAGTGTTTGACCAATATCAATTTATGTTTTAAACTGCGATGCTGACACTTCCGATTGTACTCCGATACGAAGCAGCGTCAATAGTAGTAGCATTTATGTCATACTGAACAGTGTAATTTGCTAAATTTGCTTACAATACTGATAATGTAGAGTCTAGAGCCTAGACATGATGGGTATATTTTATGGCTGTCACATGACTGCTGTGTTGTTCTAGGGCTGTGACAAGGTTGCGATGGTGTGGGACATACGAACAGCCGACTGTGTGCAGGTGTTTGAAGGTCACGAGTCGGACATCAACAGCGTCAGGTTCTACCCCAGTGGGGATGCCTTTGCTACTGGATCAGATGATGCAACGGTAAAGTCAACTTGTTTTACCGCATTCAACAATATGTCATGGCAACCTGTATAATAAGCATGGACTGCAAGAACAAGGAATGTCGACAATGACACAGGGTACAATAATGGGACACAGGGAACAATCACAGGGTACAATGACACATGGTACAATGACACAGGGTACAATGACACAGGGTACAATAATGGGACACAGGGAACAATCACAGGGTACAATGACACATGGTACAATGACACATGGTACAATGACACAGGGTACAATGACACATGGTACAATGACACAGGGTACAATGACACAGGGTACAATGACACAGGGTACAATAATGGGACACAGGGAACAATCACAGGGTACAATGACACAGGGTACAATGACACAGGGTACAATGACACATGGTACAATGACACAGGGTACAATGACACAGGGTACAATGACACAGGGTACAATGACACAGGGTACAATGACACAGGGTACAATAATGGGACACAGGGAACAATCACAGGGTACAATGACACAGGGTACAATGACACAGGGTACAATGACACAGGGTACAATGACACATGGTACAATGACACAGGGTACAATGACACAGGGTACAATGACACGGTACAATGACACATGGTACAATGACACAGGGTACAATGACACAGGGTACAATAATGGGACACAGGGAACAATCACAGGGTACAATGACACAGGGTACAATGACACAGGGTACAATGACACAGGGTACAATAATGGGACACAGGGAACAATCACAGGGTACAATGACACAGGGTACAATGACACAGGGTACAATGACACAGGGTACAATGACACAGGGTACAATAATGGGACACATGGAACAATCACAGGGTACAATGACACAGGGTACAATGACACAGGGTACAATGACACATGGTACAATGACACAGGGTACAATGACACAGGGTACAATAATGGGACACAGGGAACAATCACAGGGTACAATGACACAGGGTACAATGAAACATGGTACAATGACACAGGGTACACTGACACATGGTACAATGACACAGGTTATAATGACACGGTACAATGACACAGGGTACAATGACATAGGGTACAATGACACAGGGTATAATGACACATGGTACAATGACAGGGTACAATAACACATGGTATAATGACACATGGTATAATGACACATGGTATAATGACATGGTACAATGAAAGGGTACAATGACACAGGGTACAATGATGTAGGGTACAATAACAAGGTACAATAGTTTTATAAAGTTTTATAAATGTTATGTTTTGTGTGCACATGATGTACGGTTGTTATTATAAAGTGTTGTCATCTCCTTATCCAAGCAGCTTCATATTGAAAGAATACACACAGTTCTGATGGGTTATCGACAGCCTTTGTTACATGTAGGCTCTTGAGAGATTGATGTATTGATACAAATGTGTTTTTGTGTGAAAAGGCTTGTTAATTTAGAGGTATCAAATTCCATTTGATACCTGATTTTAATCACATTTTGACCAATCATGCTAGAAGTAATGTCAACTCTGACCTTGTGGCAGCACAATGACAGACATGTGACAGCCTAGCAACAGAATAGTGGTAGACTAGTGACAGGCCGGTCAGTAACAGAAAAGTGACGGAAAAGTAATAGAATAGTGACAGAATAGTGTACAGACATGTTGTGTACTAAATCATTCAGTGTATGTGTTTCAGTGTCGTCTGTTTGACCTGCGGGCAGATCGTGAGGTCAACTGTTACAAGAAGGAGAGCATCATATTTGGCTGTAATGCAGTTGATTTCTCAGTCAGTGGTGAGTACCGTACTTTGTGGGTTGACTTCTCAGTCAGTGGTGAGTATTGTACATTGTAGGTTGACTTCTCAGTCAGTGGTGAGTACTGTACATTGTAGGTTGACTTCTCAGTCAGTGGTGAGTACTGTACATTGTAGGTTGACTTCTCAGTCAGTGGTGAGTACTGTACATTGTAGGTTGACTTCTCAGTCAGTGGTGAGTACTGTACATTGTATGTTGACTTCCATCAGGGGTGAGTACTGTACATTGTGGGTTGACTTCCCTCAGTGGTGAGTACTGTACATTGTGGGTTGACTTCCCTCAGTGGTGAGTACTGTACATTGTGGGTTGACTTCCCTCAGTGGTGAGTACTGTACATTGTGGGTTGACTTCCCTCAGTGGTGAGTACTGTACATTGTGGGTTGACTTCCCTCAGTGGTGAGTACTGTACATTGTGGGTTGACTTCCCTCAGTGGTGAGTACTGTACATTGTGGGTTGACTTCCCTCAGTGGTGAGTATTGTACATTGAGGGTTGACTTCCCTCAGTGGTGAGTATTGTACATTGTGGGTTGACTTCCCTCAGTGGTGAGTACGGTACATTGAGGGTTGACTTCCCTCAGTGGTGAGTACTGTACATTGTGGGTTGACTTCCCTCAGTGGTGAGTACTGTACATTGTAGGTTGACTTCCCTCAGTGGTGAGTACTGTACATTGTGGGTTGACTTCCCTCAGTGGTGAGTACTGTACATTGTGGGTTGACTTCCCTCAGTGGTGAGTACTGTACATTGAGGGTTGACTTCCCTCAGTGGTGAGTCAATACATTGAGGGTTGACTTCCCTCAGTGGTGAGTACTGTACATTGTGGGTTGACTTCTCAGTCAGCAGTGAGTCCCGTACATTGTGGGTAACATCATGACATGCATGTGCTTGTATTACAGGCCGACTGCTGTTCGGGGGTTACAATGACTACACCATCAACTTGTGGGATGTACTTAAGGGCACAAGGTTGAACATCCTATACGGCCACGAGAATCGGGTCAGTTGTCTCGGCGTGTCACCAGACGGCACTGCTCTCTGTACAGGAAGTTGGGACTATACTTTACGAGTAAGTTGTTGCTACATGTACTACTCAAATTTTGATAGGAATGTCCCGTTTAGTCCTTGATATATACAACTCAAACAAGTTAAAGAACACACGACAGATTGACTATAGTAACAGAGAATTAGATGTTCTTGAACTTCTTTTGAGAGTTATATTAGATTGGTTTTAGTATGTAGATGTGTGTCTATGGTATGAAACATCTCTGTGTAATACATCAGTGATCAACATCATCATGTAGTTTCTTTTTGTGTACGTCACTTTGCTTGGTTAGGTTGTCATGCTGTAACATGGGGTGTCATCAAAGCTGCTGACTTGAAAGTGTACACATCTGGCCTGTCAACGTTTGGTTCATGTAAAGAATTCTATAGCTGTCAGAATAGTTTGTCATCATTCAGAATTTTGTCAGCCATGTCATGATGAAAAACGAAGAGCAAAATAGTGTTAATAGTATAAGATGACAAACATTCATATTTTGTGTATTGGTTTGAAACTTTCAAATACTTTTTGATTCTTAATGAGACTCAAAACACAGCTTTTCATTCATGAAAAACATGTTGAGGACATCATTTACTGCATACATACTGGTATGAACACAATTTTATGTTTTGATTTCTCATCCTTTGAAATAAAAGCAATGTCGACTTAACTGTTCAATAATATGGAATGCGAGGATAATTGTATGTTTTACCTTACCTGATGCTACGCAGTTCTATAGGTGTAGCATCAGGTAAGTATAAAAACATTGTATTTATTCAGAAATGCTCATGTTTTGCCATACCTGACGCTACCCCTATAGCTACCCAGGCAAGTATAAAAACATTGCATTTAATCAGAAATACTCATCTTTACATTTTTCTAATCTATCATTGATATAATATATATGTAAACTTATTTTATGTTTTCTGATTGGTCTCTGTGAGGGTCATTGCCTTACTGCCCTCATATGGCTGGAAGGTTGGTTATAAATGCTGACAGAGTCCCTGTCTACTGTTCCAGGTGTGGGCTTAGGTAGTCTGATGGTAGCCATCGAGATCAGCACAGACAGCAATATAGAGGAAAGTACATGGAACAACGAGCCTTGGCTGCCAGGCAGCTGTTGCCATGGTGATGCACTGCTTGGCAACTATTGCAGGAAGTCTGGAACCAAGAGGATGTTAAACCAAGGGTAGCATCATGTCAAATCAGGACCTTCCAACTTGCAACTCAATTTCGTGCTTTGCAGGTTGTAAAAAGATGATTGTGTGTTAAGTGCTAGTTTATTGTGCAATATTTACAGTATTTTAAAGACGAATAACATGACTTGTTTCTTATTCCTTTAGATCTGTCATAATTTTGTCATCTTCATAAGTGAGGACCAAAGCCATGCATTTTATTAGCAGATTATATTTTGCCTAATAACTATCACAATTATGTTTCTTACCATTTGGATAAGTAAGGTGAGATATGTTTGTTTAATTCTTGCCTAATTTGTTGACATCTTGTATGATATCTGCTATGAGATCTAGGCGAGGGTGTAGCCTGGTGGTTAAAGCATTCGTTCGTCATGCCAAGGATCCGGGTTCGATTCCCCATATGGGTACAATGTGTGAAGCCCATTTCTGGTTTCCCCTGACGTGATATTGCTTGAATATTGCTAAAAGCGGTGTAAAACTATACTCACTCACCACTATGAGATATACTATATGATTTTCGTTAGATCTGCCGTTAGATCTGCTATTAGATATGTCTTAAGATCTACTATGAGATGCTTCATGAGATCTGATATCAGATCTGCCAAGTGATCTTTTAAAGTGATCTGAGATAAAACATGAGATCTACCATGTAATGTTCCAAGAGATCTACCTTGAGATCAATCTCATTAAAATCAGATCTTAGTTCTCGCAACCGCAATCTGAGGACATCCCATTAGGGGTCACATCAGAACGACCTTTCATCCAACCAATCAGAGCGTCGCTTACCAGATAATGAAAGTGACAGTCAGAATGTGATTTCTAGTCATGCAACCTTTAACTTTAACTTGGGGTATTCTGAACGATAGTTACGGGCTTAACGACTGAATCCATACAATCTAGACCATCTATTAACCATTCCAGAATGTTCTTTTGTTCAGGTGTCAAATTTTAATCACGAATTTGTCAAAATATGTTTCCAAGCGTAGTCACCAATTTGAAATTAGTGCTGTAAAGCACGAGAAAGCTGTCTTCTGATTGGCTAATGTCGACTTCTTGTCAGTCATTCCATTGGTCGGTCAAAGTTCGCACAAGGTCGGTCTGACGTGACCCGTAATGGGAGGTCCACAGATCTTTGTTCAGCGATAGCAGGAACTAAGATCTGATTGATCTGCATGATATCTGCTATTGGATCTGCTGTAGTTATTGTTTATGTTGATGAGGATGGAGATGAGTCACTCCAGCCTACACTCCATGATGAAACTAAAATACGGTTCAAAGCAACGTTATACCCAAGTCACTAACTAGGAGAGGAAACAAGGTTGATATAAGTCAGCATAATAAGGACCAACAAGGACCAATCAGTTTGTTTATATGTGCATTATTTCTGACTGCATCTGCATCAAGCATCAGAATAGTGACTAACCTCTTCAGTAAACATGATGCACCTGGTAACAGATGTAAACACTCATCACTCCTACCAGACATCGTTGTTGAGGTCAAGCTGCTCTTAATCAAGGAGAGATCGGCATTGCATCGTATTAACCTCATTCATTTCCTTAAATATTATTCAGCAACACATTCTTGAATAAAAAAATAATAAGACAAAAAAAGAAGAATTTTCAGATCTCAATACAAAGACTACCGTAGGCCACGAAATAAGCGCCCAGAGCATCTAAAAATTAGAAATAGGGGCCTCTTATTAGAATATTATTTTGGTGGAAAAAACAGAGTTGAAAGATAAATTTCGAGGTTTATGCTGATAGCCTGAAATGTTTATATACGACAGATTTATTTTTCCAGACTTAAATTGCCCATAATTAAGGGTGCATATAACACACGAGTGGGTATTATACGTGAATAAATAAGTCTTGTGTACATTGATCAATCGGAATGGTTGCTAATTGGGATTGTTCACTATTCAATATATAAGCAAATATCGTCATGGGCGCTTATTATAGCGTGGCGCTTATCACGTTGAATACGGTATTTACAGTACACAGTTAACTGATTTTCTCTAGTCACCAAATGCCATCTAGGACTATTTCATATCATTGCTTAAATACCTAGATGACTGGTTACTTATATGCCCTCGTGGTGTAACGATATGTCAATACAGTATTGCATCTCGATATGGGGGCCAACAATTGATTTGGGATCCCTGTATCATGATACATTTCATTACAAGTTATTTGGGTATCAATAACAGAAACTGTTCAACCATAAGCTGATGCAGTTTCTCAAGTATTTCATGGTTGGATATAAATGACACAAAATTCACAGTGCCCTCTAGCCAAGATGTTTCTGGACTACAATATCTTTGAGCTCTGAAATTTAATAACAAATGATTCAGGGTTGTGACTCACCAGCAAAAAGAAAAAAATATCAACTTGAGAAATAAAAGTACTGTTTCAGCATACGAATCATATCGCACCCAAAGTAATGGATACGTATTGTACTGCGACCCCACCGTATCGCCTCTTCCCGAGGCAAGAGCGTTTCCACTCTTGCCGAACTAGGCTGGGATTATGGAGTTACATTTTGGCTGGGCTAACGAGTCTATGCATAGTCCAATTAAAATCGCGCACCGAAATCGTAATACGGTTTGTAAACTGTCATGCAGAGTTCAGTCGATTGCAGGATTTGCAAAGCATGTGCATCGCCAACTCGTTGTCAACAGATATTTTCCAAATCTCTTCATGTTTTTAATCAAGGTGCTTATGTGATTTGATGTACTTCGCGAAGTAGGAACCGTTTTATCACAAAATAGATCTTGATGGTCGATCAGATCGTCTTGACTGGGCGCCACCATTTTGTTTGAAGCAAATGCATGTGATACGAGAGGTGGAATCTGATTGGTCCATATGGGAGAGGCGTAGAATGGACATAACTCGTAAAAGCCACTGGTGGCGCTACGATCGAGCCCAGGAATTCCAGCCAAGTTCGGCAAGGGTGGAAATTGGACTTTTATAGTCAGTTAACTCTCCTACCTCGGGAAGATGACCGTATCGTTACACCTCTACTTGTGTCAGTTTGTCAATTTGTCAATAATCATTGCAGGTTTCATAGTTGCATCTATTCATTTGGAAGATTTTATATGATGAGAGATACAGTCCTCAGTTTGAAAGGCAGTTTTGTATGTCAGTCATGTTGGTAAATGGCAAGTGTTTACCGATCCATAATGTATTTGTCATTGTCTTCATTACCTTTGCATAAGAACAAGATGTGCAATGATAGTTTCTTTTGTGCAATATGATATTTGGTATGTTTGAATTACAATTATATTGTAAGCTTAGACAATATTTATTTCATTTTTGGTTGAGATTGTTTTGCGAAAAAAAATTATTTAAAAAAAATCAATTTCCAATATGGTTTTTGGTTTCCTCAAAATTTGAAGTAGGTAGAAAAAAATGTGGGGTGAAGGAATAGGGAAAGAAACAATTCATGGAAAGGCTGGATTAGCAACAATAAATTTTTTTTTTTGACATTTTACTTTTAGGTGGAATAAAAAAACTTCTCTTCATTTTCATTTCAATTAATTGGAGTTCGTAAACCAAGTTTATTTAAAAGTTTGGCCTTTTTCAACCTTGGTGCACTGAGAAATCTGTAGGATTGTCAACACATTAAAGTCTGGACTGCCTGCAGTCAGTGGTTTCTTGACGAGAAATGTTCATGAAAATACATGTACAAAAGATTTCAATTTACTGGAACATATAGGTTTTCTTGCATCAAAATCTTTACAAAGTGTGCATATATATACACTTAATTGCCTTTTTTACTTGCTTATATTTATATCTACCCCCCTAGGTTTAAATATATTTTTTCAAATAATGCATCTCTAACTCTTTTTATTCACACTTTTAGTTTTTGAAAATATACATGTATTTAGAAAGAGTGCATTGCAAGTATTCACTCTGAAAAATGTGACTATCTTTTTATTTGAGAAGAAGCAGCAGGTGTGTATACAAGCTCCTCACAGGAGTGTTTCAAGAATCTTGGTATTCATCAGTTGCAGGGGGCACGGGTAGCTCAGTTGTCTAAGGTGCTGTGATTTGCTGTGCAGAGTTGTGTCCCTTTAGCATGCTAGAAACCTATGATTGTGGGTTCGAATCCTGGTTCGCCCTGATTATGTTTCTAGGTTTTGTCAGCACCATACCCGTGCTCGTGGGTTTCACCGAAGTGGTAAACGTCTGAGACCTGCATCACTTCGGGCTTTCCTCCCACATTAAGCTGACATGCCGTGATATAACTGGAATAATGTTAAAAGCGGCATTAAACATGGCCCTGTGGTGTATCGGGGGACATTGGGTATTAGCAGCAGCGTCCGAAATATCTGCCTGGCCGCCTGCCTGCCTGCCTGTGGCTGGTAACTTTTCTGTCGGGCTGCATGAAATTTGCCTCCACCTGCCTGATGTATTCATTTATAACTCCTTGTAGATTCTCAAGTAATTATTTCAACTGAATCAAGATGCAATAGATGCAATTTGTCTCTTATTTTTTTGCGAGTTTTCAATATTTATAAATGGAAACAAGACTGAGACATTGTTAATATACAAAAGAAGGGTTAACATCCATAGTGCTTAATGAACACTGACAAGATGTGGTAGAGTTTTTGAGCAGTTTGTTTAGACATTTGTGCTTAACAGTATTTACTCTGAACATATGGACATGACATACTTGAGTTGCACTTATTTTTGTTTGATATGTGCATTAGACAAAACCAATGGATCTCCTTGGAAAGACCTCTCTATACACATTAACATTGGTATTTGTGTCATGAAACCAGACCTGGATCTTTATCAAAACCTCATGTTGTCAATCATTCAAAGATTCTGAGCATATTTCCAAATACATATAAATGTATTTGTATATATTTGTGATGCATTTTAAACCTTTACTTTCATGCTACATTTTCTTTGTAGGGAAAATTGTGACTTTTTATGTAAATAGTATATTTACAACCTTTTCTGTATGTGCTTTCACAAAGTGCAATCAATAGGTCTAGTCAGTTTGAAAGGGACACAGCATATGTCAACATAGAGTTGTACCTCCAAGCTTTAATATAATAAGATAAAGACATGTTGATGTATTTGAGGATTATAAAGAGTACACAAACTCATAAGTATTGTACCTATAATGTGCTTTGGAAGAAATGTGTTTTATATATCTGACTACAATAGTTTACCACTGGTCATAAAGCAGTTGACAACCAAGACAGAGTTGACATGGATTGCAATGTCTTTATTCTTGACATGGACTAACAGGATCAGGTGGTCAGGCTTGTTGACTGGGATGATGCATGTCATCGTATCCCAATTGTTTGGATCGATGCTCATGATGTCAATCACTGGATTGTCTGGTCCAGACTTGATTATTTACAGACCACCGTCATATAGCTGGAATATTGCTGATTGCGTCATTAAAACAAACAAACAAACAAACAAACATGGATTTCAATTCTACATTTCACAACAGATGCTAGTAACTTGAAAAGAAGTTGAACTAAAGAAGAAATCTCGAGTTCATTGATGCCAGGAGTTGACTTCTCGGGGGGTCACAATGTGTGTCATGGTCCCCAGACAGCATGACGTCATGCTAGCTCATTGGTTGCCTGCTTTGCCCAGGCTTGATTATTGTTTGCTGTGACTCCTGTACTGCCGAGTGCAGCATTAAACAGCATCCGCTCACTTACACACACACCCTCACCCACCCACTCACTCACTCACTCATGACTATGGTGTTCTTGTTGTATGGCTTGTCCCTTTCACATAGACTGTTCTCTGTGTGTTACTGTTGGCTGTTTCAAACATGTTATTGTCGAATTCTCCACAAGATGTAAATATATCATTGTTTCATTGTTTTATTACTTAGAAACCTTAGTTATTAATTTTGAATTGTTTATATGAAAGCCTTGTAGCTTCCCACTTCCGCATCTGAGAGATACCCGTTATTTCAGACTTGATGCCGTTATTGAGTATTTGATGTTTGGAAATGAC